AGCAGGAGAACAAAATAGATGAGGTAGTGAAAGAGAGGATGGATGTGGGAGTGACAGCCTGGAGAAGATTGGATGGATGGCCCCCTGGCGACTTTTGGATGATCTGGCTTTCGATGTCACCTGTAATAAGAGGTGGGGCAGTGAGAGTGTGGTCACAGACATCAGAAGGCGAGAGGATGTGCTGGAAGTTGCTGGTGAAAGTTCTCTTCTGTTGGCTTCAGTTTGCCTGGTCAAAGTAGAAAAGTAAACTTACCAGCTGAGGAACGAGGAGGAAGAGTTACTGGAGTCATGAGCAGAAGATACGAAAGAGCCTTCAGGGACAACGGGACAGTGAAAAGAGCAAGGGGAGACGGGGGGAGTTTGCTCTCAGAAAGTTACATTTTATCATTGTGGTCCCCAAATGTTGGATGTGTGATTGCCCTTCCTGCTGTCTACAAAATAAAAATTGAATATTGTTCAGGGAAAATGCTATTTCATCCTAAGAGGCTGCCTGTTTCTCAGGAATGGTCTTCTTAAACTGCAAACATTACAAAAATGTTGAAAAGAAGAACTTCTGTACCCAATGACCCACTATTTCCTTAAATTTACTTGCTATTGGTTCCCCTATCAATACCACAGAACCGATACTGCCTAGGATGGAGATACATCGATGCTTAAATGGAAATGAAATCTGTATCTTTTTCCTAAACTCCGTGGCTTCCTTAACATCCCATTCCCCTTGGAATTTAGGGGTGTCCGGTATAAGAAACGAGAAACAGTTTGAAAAAATCCCGGCTCAGAATTACACAGCACAATCTCAGCTCAGAAGTATACAGCCGTATAAATATTTAGAAGCAAAACTCCGTAACTACTCTTAAAGGATTTTGCAAACCTGGGCCTGCCCAGATGTTTCCAAACTGGAAAGGTACTCCAATCACTTGACCGGTACGGGAACCAGAGGCTGGTCAGCCTTTTCTGTAAAAGCCAGAGAGTAAATATTTTCAGTTTTGCAGATCATTTTGTTGTAACAATGCAGGTCTGCAATAAGAAAGCGAAGAGCACTGGGAGACAGGAAATAAATGGGCATGCCCACACCCTCCCTTCCACTCAGGGCAGCTTCTCTGTGGTGGGGAGCTTTGCCACAATG